GCAAAAATATGAAAGTCAATGGGAAGGATTATCCCATATATTATGGAAAAATAAGAAATGTTCCAAACCACCAACCAGTATTTCATCATTTCATGTCATGTAGGGACATATTTTTTACCACATGTAAGGAAAGATCATTTTATATACCTGGATACATTTTTACCATAGTTCCGAGGGGAAATATCATGTCATGTCCCAACTTCTAGGGGTGAACAGGCCATAGTCCATAGTCATAGCCATTTCATTCACGCCTAGCTCGCACCCCCCATGCTGGGCGCAGGGCTTGTAAGTTGCGCACGTATCCTGCGGTCACCCTTTTTTCCCCATGGCACTACAAGGCATGTGGAAACCATTTGGGGATGCAACAAATGGTGATTTTGGGAATGGCTGAGTATTGGGTTTACCACGTTAGCAACAACTTAGATAAGAACTATTCCCTATAGATTCCTGAGTCCTGGTGGATTTCCCCCTTGGGAAAATGCCAGTCCCATCACCGACGAAACAAACCCTGGACAAGTGAAATAGAGTGCAATCTTCTTTGAGACATGTTTTTTTAAACCTCGGCATTACTTGCTGTAGAGGTTCTTTTTCGTGACTTTTGGGGAGTCTTATTCCTGGGGCTGAGATGTCCACACATCATGATGCGAAAATGCACATCGCGACCCAGGTTCCCCACTTGACAGTCTAGCACAATCCCAGCCGCCATTCAAACTTGTCTGTTTATATACAATCTATATCTGAGAATCACCATACTTAAACATATAAACATATCGGCAACCTGCACGATTTTATCTGGTTTGGAACATTTTTTATTTTCCCATATATTGGGAATAATATTCACAACTGACTTTCATATTTTTCAGTGGGGTTAAAACCACCAAACCATCCAATTCTCTCCGTTGGAATGCGATCGTTGACATTCGCCCATAAAAAAAGGGAACGGTCGGACGGGGTGAAAATTTGGCACCGAGGGTTGAGGGTTACCCGACATGGTAAACGTTTACATAAAACTATGGAAAATCACCATTTTTCATGGGAAAATCCACTATAAATGAGCTATTTTCTATAGCTATGTTAAATTACCAGAGGGTAAAAGCATCATGTTCCGTTCGAACAATGTTCAAAACCCTCAGCAGTTCCAGTCTACTGGTTGGTTTAGAATAGGATTCCCTGCGGATGATGATCATCCCCAAGATACTGGATATCATAGCCCCCACAAAATCATCAACCAATCATCATTTCTATTATCATCACTCTATATCCGGTATACGGCCCAGATGTTTGATGATTGACACCCCTAAAAATCATAGTTGAATCATGTTAAACACCATTTAAGAAGAATAAACATTTGGAGGTTTCCAATCAAAATCATAGTTATCATGTTAAACACCATTTAAGAAGAATAATCATTTGGAGGTTTCCAATCAAAATCATAGTTGAATCATTTTAAACACCACTTAAGAAGAATAATCATTTGGAGGTTTCCAATCCATGGGGGGGACCTCCCAATCATCCACTTTTTGTTTGGATTTTCCATGAAATAAACCATCCAGCGAGCTTGGGGGCACCTCCATTTAGCAGTCACTGCTCTACAATGTGGGGCCCCCCAGTTATAAGTTGGTTTATAAACCCCAACTATAGTTATAAGATGTTACAAGTATTATAAACCATAGTTATTGGAGTTATGTGAACCCCAACTTAGCGTTCTCGAACGGGGGCCCCACATTGTACCATACAGTAGCCACGACAAATCGACAGCGGACAGACTTCGGACGCACTGGGTGCCCAGTTCTCCTGCCATCGGACTCAGGAACCTGGCAGGAACTGCGGCAGAGCGTTTGGAATCTGGAAAAAAACATAGCACTAACATATGTTATCACATGTTATACGTTGAAACAGTATACAATAATTATATATATTATATAATCATATATATGTAATTATATACATTTGTATATATATAATCATATATATATATATAATTTTATATGACATGATACATGATGCATGATCTATGATATTAATTGATATATACACCGTATATCTTGAAATAGCATTGTTTGTTCACTCGGAACAGTGGACACCCCCACCTGCTTACCGTTTTTTCGGGACATTCACCAAGCTCCTCTAACCGGCAATGTTTGGTCACAAAAATGAAAATCGCTAATGCTGTTCATGATTATTTTCGATTGTAAAAAAAAGGTGGATCAAACTATTCATCCAGTTAGTTGGCTTTTGGGACATCAACTTCTGTGATCCTGGTGGTGGCAGATCGTGAGGGATAGCCCAAGGGGGCAGTTTTGGTGACCCCCAAGGTTTAGGAATGTCTTATCAACCACCAAAAACCACTAGGTCACTAGTGGTTGGGCTGATGCTTCCATGGGCCTATTTATAAATAGTTTACATATTAAAAAATGATGATTTTGGATTTCTATGTTAAAGAAAACCAGAAGGTCTCCCATTTTCAACATTTATCCATAGTAATATTATAGTCATCCCCAAATAGATGGAAAAGTAAATCCCTACTGATTTCATGGTGATTTACTGTTCCATCTATTTGGGGATGACTATCATATTACCATCTTTAGAAGTTGTGATCATCCATAGTTATGTAAACGTTTACCAGAGGATAATTAAAAATGGTAATTTTATGTACCATCTGGAGATTTAACATAGCCATGGAAAATGGCCCATAGAAATAGATATTTTTTGATGATTTACCTATTAAAAAATGGTGATTCTCCACATAGCTACGTTAAATAACCAGAGGATATCTATATCTTAAACCCCCATTAGGTAAATTTACTAATTAATGTAATCCATTAAGTAAACCCCCATTCAATAACCGGGTAATGAGGTGTTTCCCAAGCCACTTGGAATGGAAAATAATTTTCTAATCTTCCATAATTTTCCATACTAGTTGTGATCTTCCTATCTGATAAATGGATTCTTCTATAAACTTATATATATATAACTTACCCGGTCTCCCTATCTGAAAAAATGGATTGCTTTTTGTCGGATTCCCCGCAAAGATGCTGCGATGACAAGATCCAAAAATGCCGCCCATCCCAACCAGTGACCGTCACTTTGTGAGGTCAGTATCACTTAACCAAGTATAAAACATATACGGATGTAAAAACAATATAAATATATATATATATAATTATATATGTATATAAAAAGTTAAATATAAACATATACATATATATATAATTATATAAATATACGTATATATATACACATATATATATATATATTAATAATTATATATATATATCTGTATATATAACTATAGATCTATCTATGTATATATAGTACAGTATCGTTTTATCTTTTTCGGGAGCCTTACTGGGATTATATCGCCATTATATCCCACCCAATTCCCATGATTTTCTGTTACAAAATTCCACTGGGGATGGTGGGGAAAAAACGTTAAAGAACAGTTAACAGTTGGGCCCATATTTTCCCATTTATATGCATTATATATACGTATATATAGATATAATAAGAAATTTCATATATATATATATACATATCTATCTATATATAAATATATCTATAAATAAAAATATATCTATATATATATATTGATATCCATATCCGTTGAACATCCCTTGAAAAAATCATGTTCACCGGCGAAGTCCCAACAAGAATGGTGCCTCAGCTTCATTCGTCTCCATTTTGCGCTCCGCAGTTCCGCAGTGGGGACGATGGTTGATCATGAATAGTTGGTGAATATGATCATGGCCAATCTTAGATACTCTGCAACAAATGGATTTTTTAGCTGGTTAGTAGATAATCCCGTTGATAGCAAGAGACTAAAGGATTAAACTACCCATCCAGTCGGTTGACCTAGTAATGGTTGGTTGATATGATGACCAGTAGATGATGAATAGATGGTTAAATCAACTCAATAGATGGTTAATACTTGGTTAAATCAACTCAATGGGTGGTCAATAGATGACTACTCTATGGTTACCCTCTGGCATTCCAACTTGGCAATTGAAGACCCGATATTTTCCAGCTAGCTATGTTCGATTAACAGAGGGTAAATCACCATCAAGATATGCGGGAATCACTTGCTGATCTTTTCTGGGGCCTTCACAAAAGAGGATTATCAGCTTGCGCACGTGCTGATATCTGGGGGTATGTGTTGTTCAGCTAGCATTCTCTTCTGCAATAGAACTTGGCTTGGCAGCTGCCGATGGAGTTTCTCCTCCCACCTAGCAATGAACTGTCAGTGGACCGAGCCTGCCTGTCATATTGCTAAGTGAGAAGCCTTTCAGCTCGGACATACACGTCAGCCCTGCCCAAATGTGTAACTGCTGACATTTGTTGGTGAAAATTGGATGGTGAAAACCGTGGTTTTCTCTGAAAATCTCCCTTGAATCTTCCCCAGATGTAGTGGCTGCAGCACGATTATGCGCATATCGAAAAACTTGCGGGGAGAAAATGTCACTCTCCTTTTCCTCGAAAAAAAACGGGAAGGGCCAAGAGCACCCAAGATGGCTGTAACATTTCAATCATCTTTTGCAGACCGAAAAAAAAGGCAGCCCTCCTGACATCAACGGGCTGTAGCACAGACCTTTTCACAATACAGCAGCCCCCACACTGACAGATGTATACCAGAAAGTAGCATCCTACACAGAGGTTTTTGCAGCAAAAGAAGGCCTGCCAAGCAGCGGAATGAGCCGAAGGCACTCAAATACTGGTTGGTGGTATACCTACCCCTCTGAAACATATGAAAGTCAGTTGGGATTTTAAAATTCCCAATATATGGAAAAATAAAAAATGTTTCAAACCACCAACCAGAAATACCTGTGGAAAAGGTCTAGTCTTTCTTTGGCATGGTCAATGTCCTCCATTGCTGGCTATTCTTGGAGTGGCAGGATGCAATTTCCTTCATTTCTGGTTGATTTCCGATAAATAATTCCCAAGAACCAGGCAGTATAACTTCTTAGAATAACCAATCAACAACGCTATTTTTTATGGTTCATAATCCTGACCAGGCAATTCATCAGTTGATTCAGCCAGATGCCATCGCTACGTGTCATTTTCCGCCGTGTCGTCGCTCATGGATTTCGGCCTCCCTAGACGACCACAGTGCTGAACCTGCGAGCGTTTCTTGGTCCAGATCTGGGCAAAAAAGGCATAAATGTTGGGGACGCATAGTTATAAGTTGGTTTGTAGACCCCATTAACATCCATTAACTATAGTCTATAGTTATACCATATCATATCAGTTCTATATATATATTATATATATATCAATATGATAATATGATATCAGTTATATCTGCCAGTTATAGCATTACTTTAACTAGTTATCAGCCAACTTAGCTTGGGCCTCACCTTGCATGGTCACTGCTTTGGGCGAGCGGATGAGCCAAAAATCCAGCCGTAAAATCCCTTCGAAAGACGAGTTGGTTGAAAACGCGAAACCCCATTCCTACAAGGTGGGGCCCCCGTTCGATAGCTAAGTTGGTGAACATAACTCCAATAACTATGGTTTATGGTACTTATAACTATAGTTAATGGGGTTTATAAACCATCTTATAACTGGGGGGCACCACCTTGTACATTGTGGGGCCCCCGTTTTCGAAATCGCGTTCCGTTGCTGAAGATAACTCCAATCTCACATAATCTCACTATGGTTTATGATACCCAAATAACCAACTACCAGTAGTATTCATGGGGGTGAATCTAAACCAACTTATAACTGGGGAGGCCCACATTGTATGGCTTATCAGAATCCCCAAGAAATTCGATAAAAGTGCGCCAGCACCAACCAACCAGGGTGTTTTCTTCATGTCTCACATGGCCAATCATTGTCAAGAGTCAGTGGCGTCCCAATATTCCCCAATGAATCCTGGCAAAAAAGGCTTATGGCCAGTAGGCCAGTTCTAGATGCGCTGCAATAAATTCAAATTTGAAGTGGGTAGCTTATATTACCACAAACTGGCGAAACATTAAACCACTACGCTACTCTTCAGTAGGGTTTACACAATTTATGTTTTTTTATTTACAACATGTATCGTCGTCTGGAAATAGGCTATACAAAAGCTTGACGGCTTATTCCCCACAAAAATCGTCTGGTTGGTGGTGCAATAACCATCTTGAAAAATATGAAAGTCAATGGGAAGGATTATCCCATAATATATGGAAAATGAAATTCCATGGTTTGAAACCACCAACCAGATACTCATAATTCACCATTATTAACCAGTATTGACCATGAAAATCATCCCTTTAATAAATGTTTCAAACCACCAACCAGTCATTCTTCAGGGGCATCCCCGATGAACGAAGCCACATCCCGGCCATGAGAATCACCACTTCCACCAGGCCTCTTGGCGATCTCTGCGTAGGGGCTCACCTGTGGAAAAAACTCCATTGCCAATCCCAAATAAGGGTGGCTTATGACATTGTTTTACCCATATTATGGTGATTATCCCATTTTTTTTCATGATCTTCTCATTGCCAATCCTAGATACCCTGCAAAAAATGACAAATTCTTTGCTGGTGAATGTAGATATTCCCATTGATACCAAAAGACTAGTTAGTATTAAAGTATCCATGTAAGATTGAGCTAGCACTTCTGATGTTTTTTTCCAACCAAGAGGGGATACAGTATACAACTGATGATGTAACCGACAGCGACCTTTCCGTGGAACATGATAACTCATGGGATGAAACCGGGTATCGGATGATCATGCCAGGGGTACAATTCTTATATTTGGGTTTGTCTGAACACACTTGGAGGATCCTTTCACTTTACATTATCCGGATATTTCTTTCCGCAGATCCATACAAATCCTGAGAACTGCGGATTTGAGACCATTTCAAGACTTAACCTTCATTTATCTGGCTAAATTATGATGTGGTGCCCCCAGTTATAAGGTGATTTAGATTCACCCCATGAATACTACTGGCAGTTGATTATTTGCGTATCATAAACCATAGTGAGATTGGAGTTATCTTCAGCAACGGAACGCGATTTCGAAAATGGGGGCCCACATATCCCACATTGTATGATAATTCACAATTCACTAGCCTGAAAAGTTCGGCCATGAAAAATTGTAGAATCACCTTACGAGCCACCCATCATTCCGACATCGACGTCGGACATGGAAACCTCAGTTTCGATTGAATACCCTAGACACCAGGTCCTAACAAATCCTCTAGCCGCGACATTCCCCACATGCGAAACATCATGGTGAGGTTGTATTGGTCCCCATGGTTTAACTGGTTGGTGGTATACCTACCCCTCTGAAAAATATGAGTTCGTCAGTTGGGATTATTATTCCCAACATATGGAAAAGAGAAAAACATGTTCCAAACCACCAACCAGATATATTGTTATTCCAATTATTAACCATTATTAACCATAGATTAACCATAGATTAACCAGGAAAAATGTTCCAAACCACCAACCAGTTAAACATGTTTTACAATTTTTCGCTGCCTTCTCAATAGCTCCAAATGCCACGAAGCTCACCGGGGATTTCAAGCCTCAAGCGCGGAGAAGCCGCCGTTTCCCGACTTGGACATGACTGCAAATTGAAATTTGAGCACAGGATGGGGTCTTCCAGTTATAAATTGGTTTATAAACCATTGTAACCCCCATTAACTAGAGTTATATTATATCTACCATAAACCATAGTTAAGCCACTTATAAGGCAACTTAGCTATCTTGGGGGTCCCATCCTGCACCGAAATTGTTATTTCAATCGATGACAAATGATGATTAAGAGGGGACGGAATACTTGAATTTTCACGGGCAACAAAACGTGTAAAGTGTAATGTTAAACCCTGGCTGCCATAAACCTACCATGACTGGGGATGGTTTACATCCCATCCATACTGATGACGATTTGGGAATGGTTTATGGCCTGGGGTTTAACATTAAACTTAAACAACGTGGATTTTCCGTTGGATTGCCCCATACTTTCTGCGCCAAGGTCACACTTCTTCTTTGAAGCAAAGGGCTGGGCAACCATTTTGAGTTCCACCTCTGTTCCTGTCGTAGCTGCAGCAATCTGCGTAAATCTCTGCAGCGCTTGAGCTGCCCTGTGTCCAACGCAACCATTTCTCTGAAAGGATACAGAGAAAGCTCCTGTCCGCAGGAACAGTTCGGATCTTCCCAACAATTGCTGGACCACATCCACTGGGGTGAGGCCAGCGGCGAGCTTATGCATCGCCGTTCCAAAGAGAAAGTCCACTGGGATCCACGTCGTGGGAAAATCAAACATGCTGTGACCAGTACGGTACCGAACCTGTAGCCATGTGTCTTGCCAATCTGCCAATCTTGTTTCATCCTGATGACCGTAGATCAATCACCTGTACATGTTTTTTTTCCAAACCCTGCAAAAAAGAATGCAAATTCTCAGTTGGACAGTGTATTTTTCCATGTATTGCAACGAAATGTAACCTGTCAACATCTGTCAACCTAAATCATTCACACCTATGGCGGACAAGTTGACCAGTGGCTAGCATGAAACATTTATAGAAAACTCGTGGTCCCCTAACCTTTAATCTTGACCCATACCCTCTCCAAGTGGTCCCAGCTTGCTCTGGTAAATGACCATTTTTAATAGGTCAACAGCCATCGTGAAAAAAACCCTCTCTATAGATGATGAACATAGCTAAATCACCTTTTTGTGTAGCTACGTCATCTATTTCTATGGGCCATCTATGCCATAGCTATCTTAAAGTAGCAGATGAACCATTAAACATACCCCTATCGCATCTTATGAAATACTAGTTGGTTGCTAGCTTCTCCTACTATGGGTTATGATAATCCCCAATGAATTATGTACCAAAAGGGGAACAACTTTCATGGCTCACCTATCCCCATATTGTATGTTCCATTATACCAGTAGTACCGCACAAGGCGGTGGCGGAAGTTTCAGAATAGGAAACCTATAGGAGACGTTGGTTGTTGTGAATCACGGATGGCAGAGCGAATCCACTGATTGACCGAAAGGTGGTTGGAGTTGTGTTTGCTGGAATGGTTGCAATGGTTGCAGTGGTCACCTCCCCCACAACTGCTGGATGTAGTGTGATGTACTGCAACTGTAGTTGTAGTTGTAGCGTAGTGGAGTTGTAGTTGTGGTGTAATGTAATTAGTGTAGTGTAGTTGCAGTCATATAGTTGTAGTTGTAGTTGTTTGGTAGTTGTAGTTGTTGTGTAGTTGTAGTTGTAGTTGTTGTAGTTGTAGTTGTAGTTGTTGTAGTTGTAGCTGTAGTTGTTATAGTTCTAGTTGTAGTTGTTGTGTAGTTGTAGTTGTAGTTGTAGTAGTTGTTGTTGTTGCTGTTGTAGTTGTTGTTGTAGTTGTAGTTGTTGTAGTTGTAGTTGTAGTTGTAGCTGCAGTTGTTGTAGTTGTAGTTCTAGTTGTAGTTGTTGTTGTAGTTGTAGTTGTTGTAGTTGTAGTTGTAGTTGTAGCTGCAGTTGTTGTAGTTGTAGTTCTAGTTGTAGTTGTTGTGTTGTTGTAGCTGTACTTGTTATAGTTCTAGTTGTAGTTGTTGTGTAGTTGTAGTTGTAGTTGTAGTAGTTGTTGTTGCTGTTGTAGTTGTTGTTGTTGTTGTAGTAGTTGTAGTTGTTGTAGTTGTAGTTGTAGCTGTAGTTGTTGTAGTGGTAGTTCTAGTTGTAGTTGTTGTGCAGTTGTAGTTGTAGTTGTTGTAGTTGTAGTTGTAGTTGTAGTTGTTGTGGTTGTTGTGGTTGTGGTTGTGGTTGTGGTTGTTGTTGTTGCTGTTGCTGTTGTCGTCGAAGTTAGGGTAGTTAAGTTAGTGAAGTTAGTTAAGTTAGTCAAGTTAGTTAAGTTAATCAGTGTCTACTTTTTCGACATCTTAACGTCAAAAAAGGCTCAAAACCCTCAGTTTTTTTTACACTTTTGACTTCGAAATGTGCTTCGCGCCACAACGGCGTGCACTTTTTCAACATCCAACGGCGTGCACTTTTTCGACATCTCAACTTCCAAAAGTGGTCCGAACCCCTAGTGTTTTGTACATTTTGACTTGCAAATGTGCTTCGCGCCATAACGGCGTGCAATTTTTCATCTCTCATCTGGCCAGCTGGCTCCGCACCCGCCGCTTTAGCGAGCTTACTTTTCGACCCTCCGGAGCCACAAATCATTGGACAAACACAGTGTTTCGCGACGTTCCTACCTTTTCGCGCACCTGCATCTTCTTTCTTCTGATCTTTTCTCTTCTGACTCTTCTCACCTCTGCTTTTCAACTGTCCATATTGTCGGAAGTTGTTGTTGTTGTTGTTGCTGTTGCTGTTGTCGTCGAAGTTAGGGTAGTTAAGTTAGTGAAGTTAGTTAAGTTAGTCAAGTTAGTTAAGTTAATCAGTGTCTACTTTTTCGACATCTTAACGTCAAAAAAGGCTCAAAACCCTCAGTTTTTTTACACTTTTGACTTCAGAATGTGCTTCGCGCCACAACGGCGTGCACTTTTTCGACATCTTGACTTCCAAAAGTGGTCCGAGCATGTGGTGTTTTGTACATTTTGACTTGGAAATGTGCTTCGCGCCACAACGGCGTGCACTTTTTCGACATCTCAACTTCCAAAAGGGGTCCGAGCATGGTGTGTTTTGTACATTTTGACTTGGAAATGTGCTTCGCGCCACAACGGCGTGCACTTTTTCGACATCGCACCCTCCAAAAGTCGTCCGACGCTGAGGTGTTTTGTACATTTTGACTTGCAAATGTGCTTCGCGCCACAACGGCGTGCAATTTTTCATCTCTCATCTGGCCAGCTGGCTCCGCACCCGCCGCTTTAGCGAGCTTACTTTTCGACCCTCCGGAGCCACAAATCATTGGACAAACACAGTGTTTCGCGACGTTCCTACCTTTTCGCGCACCTGCATCTTCTTTCTTCTGATCTTTTCTCTTCTGACTCTTCTCACCTCTGCTTTTCAACTGTCCATATTGTCGGAAGTTTCACTTCTAAACTTCCTTCGATCAATTATATCCCGTAGATTCCCATGATCTCCCCATTTTTGTGGCTTAAATCCCTTTAAAATGCCGCATAAAACGGCTGGCTGAGATCAGGAAGAAATGGCAGCTGGGGCCCTGGACAAACTCTCAAGACTTCGAGTAAATCCTCCTGCGATGCGTCGAGCGATTCTGGGCAGAGCTATACAGGACGAGGCCCCCGTTCGATCGCGTGCAGTTGAGATATGGCTGTGGCTGAATGAACTACGGGTTATCGGGCTTTGGTAGATATAACGAACGATCGTATTTTATAGGGGTTTATGTTCACCAACATAAAAAAAAATCACATCACTGGTACCATCCAGCGCTTCATGAAGGGATTTTTGAAGGCGAAACTTCGACGGAACCCATGTGGGGGTCCAAACATTCGGTGGTCCTGAACGAAAAATAGGTCTTTATATCAATGGCCATGCAGCAGGAACCGATTGATTGGAGGTACCTACCATATATAAGGCCTATATAAGGCTTATGTAAGGGAATATCCCCACAAAATATGGCCAGAAATATGGTACAGTAGCTCCATTTGAGGATCCTGAAATACCCATTGAAAATAGGTCTTTATGGAGGTGTCCTAAAATAGGGCTACCTCCAAAATTTCCATATTTAGAACAGGATTTTCTATGAAATAAACCATCCATTTGGGGTAGCCATATCCCAGGATATTCCAGGATGAGGGGCATCTCATCGCAACAAGTCAAAATGGATTTAAATGGATTGATTTGAATGCGAATAGATTCAAGACGATTCAAGCACTCTGACTATCAATTTCTCCTTTCTTCCACCCAACATTTTTTCTTGAAAACTCAAGAAAAAGGACTCGCAGGCTGCCAGGAAGCAACCCCCATCTCCATCCTCATAGTTCGCAGATGTTTATGGGAAAAACGTGGTTAATCATGGTAGAAATGATATTTAACCTTTATTACTGGTAGTAATCCTGGTAGTTATCATGGTAGTTATCATGGTTAACCATGGTAGTAATCATGGTAGTACAATGATTACAAAAATGGTGATGACCTATAGTATAATACGATGATTAATTACCTGATTATAGGTCAATGGTGATAATTACTGATGTGGGTAAATTATACTATTTCACTAACCTGAATCTTGCGCCCATGCGGGGATCATTTCCCTATAAAAAACCCATGATGAACCAGGCTTCGGGAGAACAGGGAGATCGGTCGTGATGTTGATTTTACCCAGATCATTTATGGTGATGACTTAAGGGATCAACATCCTAGAAAATACACCATGATTAATCAGTAATTATAACCATTGTATATATAACCAGGTAATCATCCAACACTAAGATGGTTATATATTATTGTCAGGTAATCATGTATTATAACATTGTAATTATAACCATTGTATATATATATACATATACCCTCTGGTTATGACTAACATAGCCATGGAAAGATCCACCCATTTTATAGCTAGGTAAACCATCTATTTCAATGGGCCATTTCCCATGGCTATGTTAAATAACCAGAGGGTATATATATATAGAATCAACCATGTATTTAAATATATATATATATAACCAGAGGGTATATATATATATACAACCAACCATGTATTTAAATATATATATATATATTGTAATTGTCAGGTAATCATCCAACACTAAGATGGCCATGTTTAACCACCATCCAGCGGGGCCGAACTAGATCCAAATAGGAAAACATGCATTGATATTTGGGGATGGGTCGTTTGTTGCCTATGAAATTACGATATGACGTACGGGTGATTTTTTTTACATCCCCATAAGGTAGTCATAGGTAACTTGAGGGTATAAATGATGGGTCAAGTTACCTTAAGGTCAGCCATTTTAGGGCAAGTTGTGTGGGTGCCAGTGTTTTGATTCACAGCCATCAACAGTCATCAACAGGGGCGTTTTGGAACTGGCATGTAGAATGGCACCGTTCCATCATCCCAATCATCCCATCATATCCACACGGCAAATCTGAGAGAATCAGGTAGTTTCTTTAATAATGGTTAATGGATATAATGGCTATAAGGATTTGCCATTATAGACCATTATAGACCATTATTTAATAATGTTTAATAATGTTTAATTATAGACCATGGCACCTGTTTAAACTAGTTGGTCTATAATGGTCTGACTTAAAGATTTGCCATGTATATTATACCAATTAAGGTAGTCCATGGTCTGACCATTCTTCTGCCAAGGTATTTCTTGGACTATAATTTCAAATACCATAGTTAAGGTAGTCCCATTTGGGTCTGTCTGAAAATGGAAGGTACCTAACTATGGTATTTCAAATGAGGAAAATGAACACTAACCAACCTATGAAATCAAAGTTGACCCAAATGGTGATGCTCTAAATTCCCTTAGCGATTCATATCCATGAAATGCTATCCCACTTAAATGGAGGTTTCCTGAAATGGGTGTACCTCCAGATCATCAATATTAATACGATTTTCCATGAAATAAATCATCCAGCTATTGGGGATCCCCTAATGGAAACCTCGATCTTACCATTGTGGTCGGATTGGTCCCATGTCCATGGTCGGCTTGGTTAAGTCCCCATCTTGGTCGGTTTTCATCCCTATTTTGGTGGTGAAATCCCATGGAAAGTCTCAATGAAATCAATCTTTTTCCTTACCTGTCAGGTGAGGGTGGTTAGATTTTATGTCAGCTGTCCCGCCTCCGCCTCCTCCGACCTCAACTGCGAGCGCTAGATCTCAGTGCTCCCCGCCAGACCCGAACAGCACTCTCAGGATCAGAGTGTTCCCCGACTGAAGAGAATGTCAGAGAGAATGCCAGATAGAAATGTCAGAATAGATGTCAGGTAGAATGCCAGAATAGATGCCAAATATAATGCCAGAAAGAATGGCAGATAGAATGTCAGATAGAATGTTAGGTAAAATGCCAGAATATATGTCAAAATATATATCGGAATATATGCCTTGAAATGCCATGGTGGGGATCACTCGAAGTAAAGTAATTGATTGTTTCTGGAGAAATCATCAATCAGTTTTAATCACATTGGTAAATTGAGAGAGATTTATATAAGTGAGTTGGATTCTTGGCAATCCGTTGGGGGTTCTTAACACAAATGAGCAGTGTTCAAAATCCCTCTATCATTCCATGATACTGGTTGGTTTACATGGATTTCCCGTTCTTGGATGATTAGAATCCCCAATATATAAACGGTAGTATAATCCCCGAACTAATCATCAACCAACAGGGGTTTTGAACACTGCTAGATCCATTTGTTCCAAAAATAATAAATATTTTGATTATCATTATAGATGGCTAACGATCCATTACAGATCCATTTGTCGCTTAAATCACAATTAAAGCAACCTTGAATCACCATTGAATCCCATGAAATCACCAAACGATTTCCGATCCTTGGTGATAGCATCCACCATTCGTGTGAACTCTTGCGCTGTCCCCACCTGTGGCAACGTAGCCGTGCACCCCAGGGTGAGAAATCTCTGCGCAAAGGATGAGCTTTTCCAACTCGGAAAACATGACCTACAATGTGGTGCCCCGCAGTGATGTTTGTTGGTTTGTAAACCCCCGTTGACTATAGTTGTATCTACCATAAACCACAGCTAAGCCATAGTTTTAAGTATAAACCATAGCTATTAACTATAGTCACTTAACTATAGTTATTTGCGTATAATAAACCACAATTATTGGAGTTATGTTCACCAACTGAACGCGATTTCGAAAACGGGGGCCCCACATTGTAGTTATATCTGCCATTGTTTCATAGGCATAAACCAATGTTCGCCGTTATTGGGGCACCAATGGGCACCACCGAACGTACCTTTCCTGAGAGTACCATCTGTCGTCCCATGTCTTCCATCATCACCGCACGCCTGGAATTTGGCCGTAGAGTTCAGAGTGATTACATGGGCTTTCTACGGGTTTCTAGGGGTTGAGAGTGGGTTTAGAGTAGGTTTATAGTGAGGTTATATATATGGGTTTATAATTGTTTATATCCGGTTCAGAATGGTTTATATGGGTTCAATATTTACTTTGATTGACAGGATTCAAATGTGAGCCGCAAAAAGGCTACAAGTCAAGTCCTTGTCGACTTTTCGAGCTGGCACCCTACATCAAACTTGGATGGTATCTCTGAAAAAATGCGGCCAGGCCAGGATCAACAAACGCGTTTGTTTGTTGAAAAGATAGAAGTGTTGGCTTCCCTGGGGATACAGTTAAGGTTTGAATAAAATCTTTGTGCACTAAACTCCTATAAGCTGGGGTATAGCCCCTACAACTATGGTTGTATATACATATATATATGTATTATGTATATATATATATATATATATATCCACTTCTAACTGGAACTGCACTTCAAAGTAGTACGCCACATGAAGCTACGCATATTCACCAATATCTAATTTACCTAGTAATCGTTCCAGTGGGGGGAACCTATGAAATCAACCAGTGGGAAAGGGACAGCCATGATGTCCGGTAATTTCAACCTCAGTTTTTTTGTCCGGTAATTGACTTATTCTTCGGCATACAACAAGATATCTCAAGTTTTTTGTTTTGTTGAAATACCATGAAGAACACAGAAGTTTCCCTGACTTTCAGTGGTTTGAAGCCTGCAAAAATCCGTCGAGATGCAATTTTTCTTGGATGAAGTTTCTATGATAGCCTCCGGTAAATGTGGCAATTGAAGATCCTCAATGGATTCGGATGCTTTACTGGGAACATCATCTATGGGGATCTTCCATGGACCAGATATGCAACATCACGGAACAAATCCTGATGTCTTCACCTACGTCGTGGCTAAGTAGGTTAGTTCACCCTAGTTATGTCAGCGGATGAACCCTACTTATCTCACTAACAAAACCAGATATCAGTGGATTAACCCTAACCCTACAAACATCCCACGCACACAAAACCAGGGTTTTCACTAACCCACAACCAGGATTCATCAGGATTCGTTTTCGTGGCCACCAAAGAGTTCACCATCTGAGAGCAGAGCATCTCCAGGTTCATGTGAATACCTCGAATCGGGTGGAATTCCAGGGCTTCCACAGCGATGCGTGGATTCCGTGGATGTGGAAAACTGTAGCCCCGGGCCGCCCAGATAGTTGGGAAAATCCCAAGGAAATCGCCATGATTCACTGTTCTTCATTGTATCATGAAGTGTAATGCCTGCCAGGTTCTTCAAAGTGACCCAAAATTCAGGTGGTGAAGTGACCCTTAAAATGGGCTATTTTAAGTGACCTCGAAAAACGATGCTCAAAAAGCTTGAAGAACAGGTTCATGATGCTGGAGTTACGGATTATGTGGGAAAAACAAGACGTCATTTTTACCAGCTGTGACTGGGAATGGTAAGTTTATACCACCAACCAAAAAATGCTGATGACTGGGGGATGGTGCGTGCGTGCAAATGGCATTGTTTTACCAACATGAAAAGTAAACAATGCCATCGCCGGTTTTTGTTGGCTCACCTCGCCAAACATGCCATCCGAGAAAAGAAAAAGGACCATGGGGGATAGTAGTTTCTATAGTTTTCTGGGACGATCACTATTCTATAAATGGACTATTAATGGTTAAAACCAATGGTTTTCATATTATGTGTTAATTAATGGTTAAAACAACTGGTTTTCATAATTATTATGGTTAGTAGTGATGAATAATGGTGATTAATAGTGCTTAATATAGCTATATCTGAGTAAATTGCAATTCACTCACGTGAAACTTGCGACCATATTGGGATTCCCCGAATCCTAACCATTATTCCAGGCTTCGGGAGAACAGTGAGGTCGTGACATGTTCAAACTAATGTCAACCCAGGATTAATAAACCCCAAACGGCTGTTTAATTGGGAGGGCACCATTTAAGTATCAGATGAAATGACTATTGGAGAAGTACCCCCTGATTAATAAACGATGGTTTAGTCTCATCCAGGGTTGACATTACATATTATTATACATTATACATTGGATATGCCATATCTCCACAAATCTAATCATCAACTAATCCACAGGCTTTTGAGAATCACCTTCCAATTACCTGGATGGTGAATACCCCAAAGGTAAACGTTAACATAGATGTGGAAAACCCATGGTTTCCCTATAATTTACCCAGATTTACCTAGATATATAGTTAAGATTTCCCTATATTTTCCCTATAATTTACCCCGGGTTGACATTGGTTAACATTACAACCTCAATGTTTTCTTTGTTTCTTCAAGTCCCAGGGATGCTCGAATTCCCCGAACTTTCATTCACTCCACTCCTTGCGCAGTGCCAATGCCATCCAGTGGCTGGATTTCAGCGCATTCTTAGCGCGTTCCAACTCCGTTTTCGTCATCTTCGACACACCCTGAAGGCATGACGTAAGGCTTTGATACATCATAAATGAAGAATAGTAAAAAACAACCCAGATATACAATATAATATAATAAAATATAATATAATAATTTTTGATAAAATAAAATTTGATAAAATACATATAATATATATAATACAAATAATACATATAATATATATAATACAAATAATATATATATATATATTATAATATACATAAAATAAATATAATAAATGTAATATATAATATATATAATATATTATATATATAATATAAATTATATATATAATATATATAATATATATAATATATATATTATATATAATATATATTATATATAATATATATAAAATATATAATATATATATTATATATAATATATATAATATATAATATATATATATAATATATATAATATATATAATATATAGAATATATAATATATATAATATATATAATATATGATATATATAAAATATATATTATATATATATAATATATATTATATATATAATATATAATATAAATAATATATAGAATATATATAATATATATAATATATGAAACATAATATAAATATATTTTGAATATATATATAATATAATGTGATATGATATGATATAATATAATAAAACATAAAATAAAATAATATAATTGTGTAGTATATAGGTAGTACTGGTAACCATAAGTTTGATTTGAACATTCACGGGAAATGAGGGTGAAACCACAGGTGATCAGAAACCATCTGTAAGGTGGAAATGTCGTAGCCCCAACATGTTAGAAACACCTACCGCAACCCAATCTACTGGTTCAAATCGAAATTTAGAGTTAACTTAGTTACCCTCCGGTAAACTACCATAACTATGGGAAATCACCATTTTTACTAGGTAAATCAACCATTTCTATGGTCCATTTTCAATAGCTATGTGACAGTCATTACCAACTTTCAAATTTACAGCTGATCAATGGGAATTCCAGGATCCTAAAATGGAGGTACGTTAGTACCATATTTCTGGCCATATTTTGTGGGGATATTTCCTTACATAGGCCTGAAAAATAGGCCTTATATATGGTAGGTACCTCCAATTTAGGATCCCGGAGTGGCCATTGAGCTGACTCCATTGACCTTCAAAATTGTTGCTACAAACCATAGCTTCCAATGATCCACTAACCACCTCATTGATTCGCACCGATGGAACATGGTTAAATCAAAACCCGCCCAAGCGGTTCAAGTCATAGCTGGTTGATTAATGGATGTTCCCCAAACATATGGGGATGGGTCAAAACCCTGGTACCTAGTGAACCCCAAAATAGCTGGTAAATGGATGTTCATCCCACTAAAAATGGTATTAATAGGTATTGACCCATACCCATATGGTAAGTTCATAGGGTTTTTGACCCATGCCCACATGGAAAAAGCAATTCTTCATGGGTCCTTGTACACTTGATGCCCACGGCTTAGGGATATGGCTTTGTCTGAAAATGGGCCCCAAGACTGTACACATTCCAAAACGCACTGCATGGAACACCGGTTTCGCAACATGGGTTTGTCTGAAAATAGTGTACCCCTACACCCAATGGTTAATGATCATTATCCCTACTAAATGGCTATAATTGGGGGTCCGTTTTCAGACATACCCACATCGACTTTCCCAAAATGCTTAAACAGCAAGTTACAAAGCCAAAATGCATGGAACACGCAACGACTTTTACCCTTGGGCTATTTGAGAGGGAGCTTCAAGTTAATTCACCCGTGGATCGTTACCCCAACAGTAATCCCGTCCCCCAGTATCAAACACCCCCTAAGTGGTCCCAATTATGTGGAAATTCACTGCTAAAGAATGCTTTCTAGGGGATGTTTAATATTGGGGGAAGGGATTACTATGCCATTATTCGAGATTATCAACCATTATCAAAAATCAGTCACCACGATTAAACACCATTTTCCCAGTATTATTCACCATCATTAATCACTATTAACCACCATTATCCCACTATTATTCACCATCATTAGTCACTATTAACCACCATTATCTCACTATTATTCACCATCATTAATTACTATTAACCACCATTGTTTTCCCAGTCTTATCCCATTGTTTTCATCTGCAAACTACAAACATCTTGACAGTCCAGGAGTAGATCTAACTTCAGAGGCGACAAGCTAGTGACATGTGGTTTCGTGTCCATTGGGGACCATCAATAATGGGTAAATGATGGTGAGAAGCCATATTATTAAGAACAATTTAGTATGAACAAGTCATTATTAACCATAAAGCCATATCTGGTTGGTGGTATACCTACCCCTCTGAAAAATATTAAAGTCAGTTGGGATGATTATTCCCAATATGTGGGGAAAAATGTTCGAAACCACCAACCAGATATTAGCGATGGTTAAAAGTGGTAAATGATGATTAATAGGGGTTAATGATGATTAATAGTGGTTAACCCAGGATTATTAACCAATATTAACATTATCAATCAGTATTAACCACCACTAACTGTCATGAACCCATGAAGATATTCCATTCCATTTCCCAATCTTCGAGACCTGGCAACACACATCAAACATGTTGAGCTGGTAAATGTATCAATATTTTACAGGATGGGGCCCCCAAGATAGCTTTCAGTTGAGATATGGCTGTGGTTGAAATTTTAGGTTTATGGTAGATATAACGAACTAGTTGATGGGGTTTATAAACCAACAAACCAACATTCACATAACTGGGACTAGTTCGACCCAGGGTATAGATTTGGAAAATCCATGGGGAAACCCCCCAGACGAGCATGCAGCATCATGATGACGTGACAGCTTCGCAGTGATGGGAAGAAGAACTCAGCCACAGGGCTCGGCAGCATCACGGAGGTGACCGTATATGGATGTATTAGGGTTCGACGGAGCCGTTTCCTGAGAAAGCCCCCTTTGGAACGCTCCTTCTTCTTGGGCCAAAGCAGATTTTACCAGGTGCTTCATCTGGAGAGCCATTTCAGGAGGGACTTCTCTTGGCTCCACGGCCCGTAGGGAAAAGCCCAAGGCTGCACAAGGCATTCAGGGAACTCCGTTTTGTGACGCTTCTCGAGGACTATCCAAGAAACATGCTGTATGTATTGGTCCGGGTTGCTCAATCCCATCGCGAGATCGGCAGTCCGCAACAAGAAGGATCTCTAGCTAGGCATGGACACATTCACCATTTATAGCCAAAAACTGATTCAACAACACAACCCAGCTCAATTTATCCAGGTTATGTGTTTCCGCCATCAAACTCCATTAACTATAGATATAACCTCTATATAACATCCATCAACATCCACTTTCAACAACCATTCAACACCCCAAGTAAATTGATAGCCTCTGGTAATGAAACATGGTAATTGAATCAATCCACTATCAATAGAGGTTTTGATGCGAGAATCGTCGAACCACATGGTGGATTTTCCATTTCCATGTTCGATTACCAGAGGATGCCATTACCATTTTGGGGAAGCTAAGTTGACTTATAACTTCGCTAACTAGGATTCAGACAGTCGCCCCAACTTGTCAGCAGGTTCCTCAAAAATCCTCGCGAGGACTTCATGAAATCTATCGCCGTATTGAGGCATCACGGTCCTGAGACAGAGAAACTGGACCGCAAAACGCTTGGCCAAACAACCGACAAGTCAAAGAAATGATAGTTTCATGGCCGTAGATATCTATAAAAATGAGACAGCTAATCGGCTAATCTTAGATTTCAAAACGTTTTTTTTTCCGATTCAGATACACATAGATGGACAATCAACTTGGGTTCAGTAAAGCGCCGTTTTTTGGGAGAAATCCAGATCTAGGTGTCAAGCGCGTAGACGGTGAGCAAACCGCTATCGATGTACATCACCTGAGAGGTTCACGTTGCAACGGCATTGATGATGCGGCCAGTAACGTCATGGGTCATACCCTCTGATAATCAAACGTGGCAATAGGAAATTCCCTACCAATGGAGGTCTTTAATGGGAACAATAATATACCCTCTGGCAATTTAACATAGCTAATTGACAATCACCATGCTATTAGTGGGTAAATCAACTATTTCTATGGCCATTCTCAATAGTTATGTAAACGTTTACCAGGCCGGGTAAGTGGTGGATTTTCCATTTGCAATGTTGGATTACCGGAGGGCAACTTCACTCGTGAAAAAAAATGGATCTGAACATCCAAAAAAGAGAACATGCCGTTTGGATCCTTTTGCTAGACAAACATGGCAATAGAACATCATCCATTTCTAGATGCTCTAGCTATTGAACATGGCAAAAATGTTGCAATTTTTAAGCTTCATCGGGTTCATTTGAATTGGGGGAACAGCATTGATTTTTTGGTCAAATCAGTCGAATTCCCATTGATGATCAATCGGCAGCCTTCAACACTTTGTTGTTTGGTTATGGCCCAACTCCTCTTGTGAAATTATCTTAACGATGCCATGTCTGGTGCGGAACTTCGGTGGTTCGTTGATCCCCTAGAATCTCCAAGGCCTAATATATTTACATCCAAGCCTGTGGCCATCATGGATCCAATGCTACATCTATTGTTGAATGAGTTGATCTCCATGTTTGTTGCTTCAATCCAAGTATATCCACATCGTTGCTAGTTAAGACTGCTTACCCAACCATAGTCCATCCACATAAGCACAGAATTTCATTGGTTATGTATAGGATAGTCTCCAGATTGTACTATGATTAAATCACGAAAATTATGTGGCTATAACCCTCCAGCATCCCCGTTCCTACTATGGAGGTTTCCTAAGTCATGGGGGTACCCCCAAATCATCCATTTCAATAGGATGTTCATGGATTTTCCATTATAAACCATCCATTTTTGGGTACCCCTATATTGTAGATCTTTTTATGATATGTATATTTATATACCATCTGAATCTGTATCTATCCTATAATATATACTGGTTGGTGGTTTCAACCCCTCTGAAAAATATTAGTCAGTTGGGATTATCATTCCCAATATATGGAAAAATAAAAATCATGTTCCAAACCACCAACCAGTATATATATATACATACATACATATTGGGTCCTCCCATTTTTCTGAACCACCATTGAGTTTCGCCAAGACACGCTGCTTGCCTGACACGACTCCGCCCAGTGATGCCTGGAACAGCGCGCGAAAATCAGAGCGTTTCAGTGGAGGGAAAGTTTTTCGGGCCTGGGAAAGTGTGGTAAAACCAATGCTCTACATGGTCTGGTTGGTGGTTGACCTACCCCTCTGAAACATATGAAAGTCAATGAGAAGGATTATTCCCAATATATGGAAAAATAAAAGCCATGTTCCAAATCACCAACCAGCCAATCCTCTACATGGTGAATCTATGCAGTTCATGGCTTATTTCCATGGGCTGTTCCCATGGGTTGTAGATGATTTATCTTCATGAAACGTACCTGCAACCATGGCGAATCTTAGATATCTCACACATCCGCAGCGCCTATTCAGGACGTCGGTGTAGAGTCGGGTGTGCATTCCCTTTCCTGCGCGAGTTGAACATTCCGTGAGCCATCGGTGCCAGTGTCTTGGGAGATGTTCTGAATGCTTACGCTGGAGCTGTTTCGTGATGATATGAATTTGACGTTGTTTTTTTCATGAAAGGCTTACTGCTAAAGTCGTTATGCAACACCCCTACTGTATGTTTTCTCCCTTGAACACAAGCGCGCCCTGTGTCACCAAGCGATCAGCTACGTGACTAAATGTCCAACCAATCATCTATAGTATCCCACTTGTTAGTGGTTAAGACATGTTAAATCACATCTTTGGAGCTTAAAATGCCTTAAATTCCCCATATCATTACAAGACTAAGAGGTACACTCACCCATCTACTCCCTTGTTATGATTTCGTGGGCTGGAGCAAACCACTGTATGGGTTCTCACTTTCATGGCTCACCTGCAGTACCATCCCTCTCCTGGCCCGCCAGTGCTGAAAGATCCACCACCACCCAGAAACATCTGCAAGACCGTCACAGCGGCGAGCCATTGACCATTCCAACCTCCAGGTACCTGCGAGTATGGACCTCTATGAGGTGGGCCTAGCTTGATGCAAACTCAGTGAACGAACTGAGTAGCAGAAATCAACGGCCGAAAAAAGGACTGTGTGTGGAATGTAGACGCAACTTCGAAGATATATTTGTTGGTTCAAAAGGTAACTTTATAAAACACTTGAACACTTGGGATTCCAAAGACTTTCACCACCCAGGTGTCTAAAACTGTAGTTCAACGATAGTTATATAATGCATGTAGTCTACCTTTAAATGGCTTCATAACCCACTGACAACGGAGGCCCAAATCCCGGGGGTTGCCCTGCAAAAAATGCCAAGTTCTGTGCTGGTTAGTAATATGTAATGATATTCCCATGAATACCAAACAAGAGACGACAGTTAGGATGAGTTTGTAGCCATGTAAGATTGACCTAGTTTTGACAACCATTGATTTCACAACGGATGTAGAGAGTCCCAGGAATGATTAGTATGATGAGTGGGTCAAAATTTTGCGCTAAGAGAGGCACATATGTGGCTAATCAAAAGGATACACGGCAGCCATCGAATTTCCAGAAGGAAAATGATATTTCTCTGCAATTCACGAGAAAAAATCACAAATAATGCACCTTTCATCAGTTGATCTATCACAAGTTCTGTTGGTATCTGTTGGTATCCCAAGTCACTTCGGATTCCGACCCCTTTGCTGAATTGCGAAGTCTTGCACCAGCATGGCCCGCAAAATTTGACACGGCCAGATTTTTTTTTGCACCCAACAAAGTGTGGAAAGGATTCCCTTTGGGGACATGGTTTGCGTCCCATTTTTTACCCTCTGGTAAACAAACTGTTTGCTATTGAAAATGGCAATTTATAGTGGATTTACCCATTAAATCCACTATTTATAGTGAATTCGACGTCATCATCTCCACTGATGAAAAAGTGAAGCGGGTCCACAGCTGGGGGGTGGTCGACTTCGTGGTTGAGCAGTGCCACGTAGACCCGCGTGGAGAAACGATGACATCTCATTTCATCTCAGTGACTTGGGATACCAACAGATACCAACAAATACCAACAGATACCAACAGAACTTGTGATAGATCAACTATGATCAACTGATGTCCAGGATTTCAATCCTCCCATTTTCGACTGAAACACAGCAGTTGGTGACTGCCAAACACCTACCAAGCTTTCCACAGCTTCACGAAGTGATTCACTGCCAATCTTTGGGCGGCTGCATGTTGAATAACATACCCTCTGGTAAACGTTTACATAGCGAACTGGACAATCACCATTTTTGATAGCTAAATCAACGATTTCCATGGCCATGGCTTCAATAATTATGTGACAGTCATTACATGTCATTACCAGAGGGTATAACGTCCATTGATGGCTATGTTTCAGGGAATATCCCCACAAAATATGGCCAGAAATATGGTACGTTTACGTACCTCCATCAATTGGATCCTGGAGATCTCCCATTGATTAACATAACTATGGAATATCACAATTTTTAATGGACAAATCAACGAACTCAATGGCCATTTTCAATAGCAAACTGTTGGTTTACCAGAGGGTAAATCCACATGTTGCTTAATGTGGGTAAAACAATGTCATAAACCATCCCCAAAATCACCATTTTTATGGGTGGTATGTTGCCCCCATTCCCAAATTACGGTAATATCTAATGGTCACTATGGTTCCCAATGGTTTCCCCAAAGTATCTCGATGAGCACATCTCCTCGCCTCCCATCCGTAGATCAAGTGGCACAAGGGATTTGGCCTGAAAGCTGATTCAGCTATTGGCTATTGAAGCTGCTGAAATGGTGGATTTTTAGCCAGATTTACCATGAAAAATAGGGAACACTGATCCTTTCACCATCAAAGATGCTGATTTCATGGTGATTCAACTATCCAAAATGGCGCAACACGGGATATGACCCATGATTTTCATATAAACTGGTGGATTTATCCAAGGAAAATGGTGATTTCATGGGACTGTCCCATGGTATTTTCATGGGATTTACAGCTGGTATTTTCACTGAACATCAGAATTATGGGGATATATGGGGATAATTGGGATAATTGATAAAATACCATGGGGATATATGGGGATATATGGGAATATGACATTTTCAGTGATTATGGGGATATGGTATTTCTCATAAAATAACTGATAAATTGATGGCCGATGGGTTCTGAAATGGAGCTTAGTAACCTGACTGGTTTTTGGGGAATTATGAATGAACCCATAATTGACCATACAAAAATTGGCTTCTCTCACAAATCCCAGACATTGCAATTTATGGCTCATTGAAGATTATGGACAATGGTGATGTTCCAATGAGATTTTGGGGTTGCAAATTATGACAGCCTTGAAATGCAGATTTTTAGAGACTGGGGAACTTCGAGGATTTCCGTCAGGGTGCCCCCCCCAACAAAAACCCCGTATAGATAGCTTCCCCAAATGGTGTATATCCATGCTTATCCCATTGGGAAGTGAACAAAAATCACTGTAAACAAACCCAGGGATTCAAACACCATAGGGGGTTTGACCAAAAGCATGATCAAAAGGATTCAAGAGGTATCAAACGTGCCTCGCTTCATTTTCAACTGTGAGTTCCTCTGCAATTGGAGAGACCGCCCGTCTCACTGAAGTCAAATTTGCCTAAACCTCCAATCGCTTTTCAGATGGGGCCGGAGTATCTAATAGTTGCAGGTTCATGATCACCTTTTTTTGGGGGCTGTTCTGCTTTTTTCATCCTGATGGTTGACATTACTTGCCCAACATCCCCATCTTTTGAAGATGAGCAGTGGCTGCTAAACCCGACCTCATTCCATTTAATCCTGATTGGTTAACATTATCAATATATATATATATTAATATGGATTCCAAGTTCATGGAGTATGATAATCCAAATGTATTGGATCTCCAAATTAGGTCTCAACCAACCAGGTTATGACCTGGTGTCCGCGCGCGATAAGATGGCGCACAAAGGCGAGCGCGATAAGATTGCGTAGCATCAACTTCAAGAAAAGCAAGTTAACATGAATGTTAACATCCCCACCCCACCCCAACCCAGTGACGTGACGTCAGTTGTGCATGTGCCGCAAGTTAACATGAATGTTAACATCCCCACCCCACCCCAACCCAGTGACGTGACGTCAGTTGTGCATGTGCCGCAAGTTAACATGAACGTTAACATCCCCACCCCAGCCCACCCAGTGACGTGACGTCAGTTGTGCATGTGCCGCAAGTTCACATGAACGTTAACATCCCCACCCCACCCGAACCCAGTGACGTGACGTCAGTTGTGCATGTGCCGCAAGTTAACATGAACGTTAACATCCCCACCCCACCCCAACCCAGTGACGTGACGTCAGTTGTGCATGTGCCGCAAGTTAACATGAACGTTAACATCCCCACCCCACCCCAAACCCAGTGACGTGACGTCAGTTGTGCATGTGCCGCAAGTTAACATGAACGTTAACATGCCCCACCCCCCCCAACCCAGTGACGTGACGTCAGTTGTGCATGTGCCGCAAGTTAACATGAACGTTAACATCCCCACCCCACCCCAACCCAGTGACGTGACGTCATTTGTGCATGTGCTGCAAGTTAACATGAACGTTAACATCCCCACCCCACCCCAACCCAGTGACGTGACGTCAGTTGCGCATGTGCTGCAAGTTAACATGAACGTTAACATCCCCACCCCACCCCATGCCGAAACACTGCGTTTAATGGGATGGAACACAAAACACCCTATTATTCCTATGGGGAAAAGAACTTCGAAAACGCGCGCGAACAGAAGGGCGGAAGGACCAACCATCATCTGAACTATATTACTACATTCCCCGTAATTTTTGGTTGTCAACTCCCTATAAATCACTGTTACCCGCCAGTATTCCAACGTGGTTCCCTATATATGGAGGTTTGAGTGGGAAATTTTTATCCATGAATGGATGATTTTCCAGCAAACCATGTTTGATTGACCGGATCGTTTTTGGAAAATCTATAGGTGATCTAATAGATATGCCTCAAAATGAAAGACCTCCGGGACCATGAAAAAACCACAGGTTTTTCAGCATATTTTAAATACCATCCAATGTAATTGAGGTACCGAATGACTTGATTCATACACAGATGGAAGTTTTTTCATAGAAATACCACCAAAAGTCAACCATGGATTTTTTTACGGATTTTCCATGGGAAAATAAACCCAGCAGCGAGCTTTTAGCTGGTGATCCCATGAAAAAAAAAATGCCCAGATCTCCAGGCTTTGATAGCTCAGGTTCCAACCGTGCCATCCGAATCTCACCACCGGTGTATTTGGCTGGCTGCACGACCTCAGGGCTGCCTCCTGACGGACGGGGGACTAAGATCATTTCGATGGCGTACCATGGTGATGGGCTTCAGAATCGTTAATCATATTTAATGATGGTTCATAACTATGGTTAATACGATTCTGAATCATCATACCACCTTATAGTTATACTGTAGGGGTTAATGATGGCTAATTGTGGTTACTAGTTATAACCATGGTATCTTAACCCCACCTTATGTGGGGAATAACCCTATAACTATGGTGATATATCCACTTACGATGGTATATAATTGCATATATATATAGATGTAATTATATATAGAATGCATCTTTTGATCATGGCACAGATGGGGGTCAAAACCCGCTCAGCACCTTTCTATTCATACCAAATTAGCTGGAATTCAGAGATATTCATCCCGCCACATGGCATTTCATAGGTTCTGATCCATGCCCACCGTATTTCAAACCATCCGACGTGTCTACTGAGCACTGGCATGATTACACAGTGAAAGTCGCGCAGCTGATGGCTGATGTTTGCATGGCGCGAAGCCAAAAAACATCCACGGGCAAAACGAGATCAATCATCTGGGCAAATTACAATAATTACAAACCTGAAATAAGGCTACCCTCTGGTTATTTAACATAGCCATGGTATAGATGGCCCATTTATAGATGGTTTACCTAGCTATAAAATGGGTGGATCTTTCCATGGCTATGTTAGTCATAACCAGATGGTATACTGGAATAATTCCCCTTACTAGATTTACTAAGCATCAGTCCAGTGAGAACAGTGAGGTCGTTCAGATGCTCAGAATCATGGGAATCCTAGCTGGAAGACTCTAACATAGAAGTGAACAAACATTGGAAACCCCTGGATTTCCCTAGGAAAACACATCTAGAAAGGATGGGTTTTCCACATTTATGCTGGTTTACATGGGAAAACCCCCCAAGAGGTGAATGATGGGACCAGCCTGCAGCATTCAGAGAATGACCTGAAGGCTGCTTCGGAGGCTCAGGAGAACTGGGAGTGCTGGATGTGGGACATCTTCGTTTTTGATGCAATTCGAAGTCTCCATTTTCATTGGCGAAGTTCAGGAAACATGATGGAAGATGCCAGGTTTCACTACCAAACGCATGCTGCAGTTTAAACCATGTTGCCCCTATTTTGGCGACTCTTACAGGTTCATGAAACAGAAGGCTTGGACGCCCTTCCGTCCCATCCATCATTTGTCGATGTGTCACGCCAAGTAATCCCATCCACGATCAGATCATATGTGCCAGGGTCGAATACATGGTGTATGGTTTATGGTTATCCATCCCATGCCATGGGAATTCAAGCATCATGGGTATATAAACCACTATGAACATCGATTCATGGGAATGCAACATATCAATTTCCCGATGTGGAGCTTTCCTAAGTCATGGGGGTACCCCCAATTCATCCAAGTCATTTTGCCAATCTTAGATGCCCTGCAACAGAATCAATTTTTTTAACAAAAGATTATTCACCTGCGCGTCAATCAGACTGGTCAACCAACATCTAGCTGGAAACCTTCCTCGTAATGGAAGTTCTAGACACAAGTTTTGTATGATATTCTGGTTAGTGTTTGCGTGCGCATGTGAGAAGGTGTGCAAACTAGTGGGCCTGGTTGGGGCAATAGTTTCGAATCAGGATGCGCAAGAAGACGGCCAGGGTGCCCATGTCCCTTGTTGTCACCACTAAGCTCAAGACGCCACCTTGTTGAAGTTCAGTACCACAACCGTGGTACACCTTGAGTAAGGTGGTGTCGTTGGCGCTTAGGAGCAAATGTGCCGCGCGCAGGGAGTTGCAGCTCTGGGTATAGCACTCGGCTCCACCGACCTCCTCATGCTTGAGTTTGTGGTGTCGGATTTCGTGCATAGCCCCGCATGCTGCGGCTGTCTGCCTGCACGCAAAATCCGTGAGCTGATTGGTGAGCTGGTTCGCATGGTGCCCTGTGTATTGTCTCGCTTTGGAAATGAAATTCAGAGGCACAAACATGCTGGTATGCCCCATATTGACCATCGGCATGGCTGGGATAAGCAAAATCTCTCCAAGTTCTTGATCTGACGGCAGTGCACTAGGAATGCTCTCGGCTTCTCGGCTTCGCGGCTTCGCGGCGCTTCTCGGCTTCTCGGCTTCTCGGCTTCGCGGCTTCTCGGCTTCGCGGCGCTTCTCAGCTTCTCGGCTTCGCGGCGCTTCTCGGCTTCTCGGCTTCTCGGCTTCGCGGCTTCTCGGCTTCTCGGCTTCGCGGCGCTTCTCGGCTTCTCGGCTTCGCGGCGCTTCTCGGCTTCTCGGCTTCTCGGCTTCGCGGCGCTTCTCGGCTTCTCGGCGCCGCCCTGTTGGCGTGGGCCCCGTTTACCCCTGCATTGATGTTTATGATACCTATAACTTATTGTATTCATGGGATTTACAAACCAACATTCACATCACTGGGGGTCTCCACATTGTACCCATCCAGTTGACCTAGAGACCATGACGACTGAAACTGATCCAATACAGGCCCAGCGGGTCAATGAGATTCCTGGTAACTACAGGGGCCCCCCGGAAACAAGGGATCGCGTTCGTTTTTGACATATGGCTGTGGCTTCGAACATGTGGATGGTAGATATGGCTATAGCTATATAATGGGATTTATAAACCAACATTCACATAACCGGTTGGGGTCACCATCCTGTAACGGGATGAACCACCAGCTGGTGCAAGCTTTCTTCCATCTACAGTATTTCAACAGGAAGAGACTATCATGGACTTGACTTCATCGTGCCTGTGTCTGAGAATGGTGTATACCCCAAACGGCTATTTTAAGAGGGAAAAAATAGGACAATTGAACATGCCCTCTTTTGATTCATGGTTGTATCGCATATTTCTATTATCATATGATGTTTTGTAATGTTTTGTACCCGTTGCATCATCATTCATTTTGGTAAAGCAATGTCATAAACCACCCATATTTGGATGGTTTCAATTTTTCAATTCCACCCATACAAGGTGGTGCCCCCCAGTTATAAGATGGTTTATAAACCCCATTAACTATAGATATATCTACCATAAACCATAGTTATTGGAGTTATAAACCAACTTAGCTATCTAGGGGGCCCCACCTTGTAAAATGGTAAGTCATTGGGGATGGTGGATCCTATTGCTTGGACCTTCACATTTTTTTCCCCAATCGGACCTGGACCGACCTGGGTTTGTCCCAGCATGACTCATGGTGAATCTTAGATGGCAAAAAATCAACCATTTCTAGCGGGTACATGTACTAATTTTTATCATTGATAGTAAAAGCTTAAAGTACTAGTTGACCCAGATATATTCCCTTTGTATTCCGTTTTTATATCACCTTTATATTCCCAGATGTATAGTAGTTATAGAGATTCCCTTTATATCATTTATATCCAAGCACTCCGTTGACCACAGGAGACTTCGACCCCAGTGGTTTCGACAATTCTGAGCTCTCCCGGCCCTGCTCTGCAAAACTGCGCGCGGTCCATTTGCACAACTCCTGGAAGTCCACATTCACTCCTACCTGCACCGGGGATGGCTGCAAGATTTATTGGGATTTAATGGGATCTAATGGGATTTATTAGGATTTATTGGGATCTAATGGTATCTACTGGGAGATCCAGGGAAATTCACTGATGGGGAGTAGTAATGGTTAATGCCGGTGAAGAATGGACAGTCCATGAATATACTTGGTGACGAACTAGCCACTTAGTGGGGTGACGAAGGGGTGAACTAACCCCAGTTGATGGGAGAAGTAGAGTATCAGTGAAAGAACTAAGGTGAACTAACCTACTTAGTAAGGATGAGCCGCAAAGTATGGGATGACTCATGGTTTTTCTCCTGGCGAATAGTGGTGAAAACAATGGCGAATCATGGTGAAGTGGAGGTTTTCGAAGTCATGGGGGTGCTTTCATAGCCAGATGGTTTAGAATGGAAAATCCATCCATAAATGGATGATGACTGGGGGGTATACCTATTCTGGGAAACCTCCAGGGATAGTTCCCACTTTTTCATAGTCATCCTGAAGCATATAGAATATGGAAATTTCAACATATCACCCACTAAACTGGGAATATCATTGGAAATTCCATCTTCTATCCACTTCAGGGCCTAGGCCAAGCTTACCTTCCCCACAGACCAAGCCCGATGGAGCTTACACCCCCGAAAAAAGGGCCACAGCTGCACCCCCAAGTACATCACCCTAGTACCAATAATGTCCCAATAATGTCCTTTTGGTAAAAATAGAGCCAGCTTGGTATAACATCTATCATCATTTACCTGTTAAAGGGGTAAACCTTCAACTCTCTTTTTTTTTCATCAACCAATGGGAAGAGGACAATGGTTGTACCCCAGTCTGAGATGTAGACCACAGTGAGCCGGTCCGGTGTGCACTCCCTTGGGACGCCGGCGAAAAGCGCCGGCGGAGCTTTGCCCAGCCGGTCATGACTTAGATCTGGTTGGCACCAGTAATACAATATCAGCTATAGTTATCATAGTATAGATATCATAGTTATCTAATATCAGCTATAGTTATCATGGTATATGATAGTTACTGGTTGGTGGTTGAGCCCTACCCCTCTGAAAAATGATGGAGCTCGTCAGTTGGGATGACATGACATTCCCAATATATGGAAGTCATAAAAGATGTTCCAAACCACCAACCAGGTGTTGTTGATATAACTATAGTTAATGGGGTTTATAACCCAACTTATAGCTGGGGGGGCACCATCCTGTTGTACATCAGGGTTTTCGGGTGACATGTTTGATTTTCAGGTTATTTTTCAGAGGGTCAACCCATCCTTTCATTGACATGGCGACCACACAAGACTGGCGGTTTACACACGACCACGGAGTGCGGGCTATGAACATGTGGGTTATGTAAATTTTCATGTGGGCTACCAGTTGCTTGTTTCATGGCCGACAAGTATTGGGTTTAAAAAGACACTGTGATTAATAAGTATGATTTATAATATGAGCCAGCTATCATGGGTTACTAACACACTCCTAAAACAGCTAAATCTACAACCACTGTAATAGGCAGAACTTTGTACAACTTTATGGGGTTTCATCATATTTCTGCAAGGATTTGGCGAACTTCTTACATTGCTTGTGGCACGGGGTGGTGCCCCCAAACGTGAAATGTTCCTTGCTTTATATTATATATAATAATATATCCCTTTACAACTCGACTAGTTTCATATATCTACTACAACCCCAACTCATTCCTTGCTCACCCTTCCAAACAATAACTAGTTTCATATATCACCCGAGTTCCAGTTCTTCGAGTTTTGGACCTACCGACAGTTCCTGGGAGTCTGAACTGGGAGGCCCGTGCTCGGCAATGAACTTCTTGATGTTCTCCGGTGTGCAGAGGGGTAAATCCTCTGCAAAAAGTGACCCAGGCACTGGAGAAGTTGGTCATAATGATGATGGTTAAGTTGGTGATTAATGGTTATATAATCATGATTGATAGTGATTAATGGTTAATCATGATTAATAGTGATTAACTTTGAAAATTATGATTATTACCCATAATGATAATGAGGATTATATGAATGGTTAATAATGGCTAATAGTGATTCATGATGGTAAATCAATGTAAATCATGGATAATGATGATTATGATAATCATGGTTACTTGGTGGCGAACTACCCACGAATCGTAAGTAGGTTAGTTCACCCTAGTTATTTCAGTGGATTAACCTTACTTATCCCAGGGATATAACCTTACTAAGTGGGATGAGCCACCAAGTAAGCAGTTCATGGCTTATTCAACCGATTCCCTTGGATTATAGGTGATTTATCTTCATGAAACATACCTGCAACCATGGTGAATCTTAGATAGCTGTCAAAAACTCGAACTTTTAGCTGGTGAATGTATTAAGTTTACCATTGATAGCAAAAGATTAAAGTACTAAAGTATCTAACCAAGGTTGACCCAGTAAGTGGGAGGATGTTCCAAACGGTCATTTAATGAGGGAAAAACGGGTCTTGAATAGTAACAGTTGAGATTACACTACCCTCTGTAATTTAACATAACTATGGGATGATGATTTACCTATTAACAATGGTGATTTTCCCTAGCAAAATTACCAGAGAGTATCTAAGAATGAGGATTTAGTCGGGCGTCGCTGGCAATGGAACATTCCAATCTCGATCCACTTGTAGATCTTATACATTATTTTCGCTAACAAGCAGAACTTCTCACTACCAGATTTGATGACGAGAGGGTACCCCACTGAAAAAGAATATGGAACAGCCTGAACATGACTTGGTAAGGTGAGTTTCCACTTCAAAATCCAAATTTTTTTGGTTTCATCGTCGTTTTCAAGCATGTAATGTATTAGATTTCCCAGCAAGCATTGGGTATGACCAGCACATCTTGGGGACGTCATTCAACACCGATCATCAAATTGATGCATTCCCGAGTATAAACCAGTGACTTCTGGTAAACTCACAGTCTGCTATTGAAAATTGCTATTTAGTTCGTTGATTTACCAATTAAACATGGTGATTTTCCATCGTTTTTTTTTGTTTACCAGAAATTAACTTCCCTACAACAACGGACCTTTTTAGGTCTTCCCGGTCCCTTCGTGTTTTTTTTCCCGATATCATTGCCAATCTTAGATACCCTGCAAAAAAATAATTTCTTTGATGGTTAGTAGATATTCCCATTGATACCAAAAGACTAAAGGATTAAAGTATCCATGTAAGATTGAGCTAGGTATCTTACCCCATCCCAATCCCGATCCAGGCATGCTGCCGGCACATTTTTCCATCGTCTCTTCGAGAGTTGGACAAGGTCGATCTGCCCTTGAGGCGCTACTATCACCGGACGACTTGAAAATTGCAAGTGGGCCCCATGTGATCTACTGATTCTCAGGTAATTTTGATTGGCATATTTTATGTATGTTTTTTTTTTTAATATATACATATATTATGTATATAGTAATATATATATATCTCTCGACTATGGTGTGGTCCCTTGCTCACAAACTTCGGTCTTCACAACCAGGGGCAACCACGGCCACAACTAAACACCACTAGCATCACCAAGCACATTTCAGACGATTGTGATGATGGTGACGACATATGTAATACATGGTACCCTCTGGTAAACTAACATAACTATGGAAAATCACCATTTTTCATGGGAAAATCCACTATAAATTGCCATTTTCAATAGCTATGTTAGTTTACCAGAGGGTAAAATGAGTTGGATTAACGAACAACCTCTCTGCAGGTTTGATGTCAAATGATAATACCGCTTGCAGGATACCAAGAGATCATGCCAGATCAGGATAGGCCGGATCTAATAGAATATCTACCCTCTGGTAATTTGTGACAGTTCGCTATTGAAAATGACCATTTAGGTCGTTGATTTACCCATGCAAAATGGTGATTTCCCATAGCTTTGAAAACGTTTACCAGAGGGTATTGGATATCGCCATAGAGGAATTTACCCCAAAAATGATCGACTGAATATATAGGACTCATATCCCATATAATTATTGATATATATTGTGCATATACCCATAGATTTCCCATCAATTATATTTTTCAAAAGCTGAATCTAGCGTTCCTTCCCACAGCTTCAACAAGCCGCAAAGACACACCGGTGTTGTCTACACTCCGCCAGCGCGGGAAAACGACACAACAGCTGAGCATGGCTGATCTGTGGTTCCTGGGGTGGCAAAACTACCCGATATTTGGCAAAACCAGAGGTTTAGCTATCCACTTGTCCAACATCGCCAAGTTGTAGATGAGCAGTGGCTGCTAAACCCGACCTCGTTCCATTTAATCCTGGTCGGTTAACATCATCAAACAAAATAATTATATATATATATATTAAGAGGTTTAACTATCTGGATCAGTTCAGATTTGGATCATTTGGTGAATACGATGGTTTATGGTAGATATGATCCAATTGCATGAATAGGGCTTTAAAAACCAACTTATAACTGGTTGGTGGTATACCTAGCCCTCTGAAAAATATGAGCTCGTCAGTTGGGATGATTCTTCCTTATATATGGGAAAATAAAATTATATAAAATTCATGTTCCAAACCACCAACCAGCTATCCACGGTTTACCTAGTTGGTAGTTGATGTACTGTGCAAGATCCTGAGAAAGTATCAACATCTTTGTTCAGGACGGAACACATTGCATACTGTAAGCAAAAACCACCATCAAAACATCTAGGAAAACAAGAGAAAACACTTATGATCATCATTAATCACTATAGATTCATTAATTGTTCCATTGTGGTTACATAATACATTATCAATGATTTATTCATATCCATTTAATTCATTATTTGGAGAACCACTAAATAGTGGGTAATAGTAATATTGGTTAATTATTAGTAATTGGTTAACCACTATTAATTGAACTAATCACTATTAATTGAGAACAACTATTAAAAACCATTATCAATATTGAGGTAATTATCACTATCAATTGAGGTATTAAAAACCAATCACTAATAGTAATATTGGGTAATTAACCACTATTAAAAACCATTATATATTATCAATTTTTGAACCAGTCGGATGTCTGATGTCGGATTCTCCATGGAGTGGATTGGAACTCTGAAATTTACCAACAAAATCATCAGCAATTTACCAAAGGTTTTCTTAACACTACTTAATAATTACAGGAAAATAATGGTGATTAATAAGGATTGTTAACAATCTATAATGATCAATGATGGTTAATACATGTTAATACTGTAATAGGTAATAATTAGTAATGGTCATTATCCGTTATATTAACCATTACATTATTAACCATCATTAATCATTATATATGATTGACAAGTATCCAAGACTAATGAATTTTGAGGGATAATCATCATAAGCGTCATGGATCGTTTTCCATCATAATTTTCCAATCATGGATTTATGACCATTCTTAATGATGATCCATGATCGACCATCATTAATACTACTCTCCAAGCCCTGTTATAGTCACAAGGATACCTATCATTCCATCTTAATCACTATTACCCACAGGTATCCCACTATCATATTAACTATGATTAACCATCATTATAGTCAGATGATTGACCTTTAATCACTATTAACCACTATTATCCCACTATATATCCCATCAAATTCCATGAATACGCCATTCATAAGCCATTAAGTGCTTATCAACTACTATTATCCCTCCATTCTTAACCATCCATTTAACATTTACAAGTATATTGAATATTATTTAATCCCTTACGATGAATCATCCAATACTAATATCCCTGTTATCCCTATTATTACTGGTTAGTGATTGCATCCGCATCCCCCCTGAAAAATATGAGTTCGTCAGTTGGGATGATGATTCCAAACTGAATGGAAAAATAGTATTCATGTTCCAAACCACCAACCAGCCATTATCCATCATAATTAACCGTATTACATCAATCATAGTTAACCATATTATTCACCATGAATAATCTAATACTCATATCCCTGTTATCCCTATTCTTAACATTTATTCACCACTCTCCAAGCCATGTCATGCTGGTATCTTCACGCCGGAGGTGAAGCCAGGCCGCCTCCGCGGTAACCGTGGCGATTTTTTTCGATTTAGATGTGAGTCACGAAGATGATATATAGATAAATATAGATGCATATTAGAGAAATGATGAGTATATAATAGTATATATATGTATATATATATATAGAGTAATATGATAATATAATGTATATATATATTATCCAATCCTTAAAACCAATCCTGGTTGGTGGTGCAATAACCATCTTGAAAAATGATGGAGTTCGTCAATGGGGTTGGGATGACATCCCATATATGATGGAAAAATAAAAAATATGTTCCAAACCACCAAGAGGGTTATGAATATGTTTTTAATGATAGCTATCATGATTTCAAACTCCAATTACTCCAATTCAGGCTTTATTGTGGATATTAATTGAACTAATGGCTTTACCAAAGAGGGTTTCAGCAACGTAAGCCCATCACATTCGGTGTCTCTACCGGGGGTTGTTCGGAGATTTCCAGGGATTCGGATTTCATTGGTCAATGGATTGGTTTAAGGGAAAATTTACAGGAAACCATGGTTTTTACCATTAAGATCATGGGGTTTTCCTGTAAATTTTCCCCTAAACCAATCCATTGAATTGGGGGAACAAATATGGGAAAGACGGAATTCATGGCCTCGCATCCATTGGAAATGGTCAGTTATCCCCACAGACTTGTGACATAACGAAGCTGGTTTCTTCACTTGGCAGACGACTCTTAGGACATAACGAAGCTCGTTGCGAGACACTTGGCAAAGTTATGTTCCAGATCGACAGTTATACTGTAATATTCATGCGAGTTGTAATATTCAGAATATCCGAAAAATAGGATTTCATCAAATGCCAATTTT